TCTAATGACTCATTTTATAGCATTCATTCATCTTGGGACGAATTTTCGATGACTAGGATGGTCCCCACAAACATACATAAAAAGATCTCCGGTTGGATATAACGTCTTTCTAGTATAAAAACGTAAAATCGTCGCTCCCTTAAGCGTCGTTATACCTGGATTTTACTGTAGTACAATTGTAGTATTACTACTATGTATTATTAATGTCTCTACTGTGCCTTCAATTTAAAGAGTGATATTCCCAGCCGTATATCACTTTAGATTGCGCAGGGTCTTAGATAAGTCACCACACAATTACAGCCAGCAATTCGGCAGGCGCACGTCACAGACGCGATTTTATAGGATAATCAAGCCATAGTAGCAGCAAAGCAAATGTTTGCTCGGATATAAACGAGTCGTGCACTGGCAGGGCAAGAGATAGTCGGCCTGCCTTAAGTAAATACAATTCAATTGTATTAAAAGGCAGCTTTCATCTCTTATAAAAGTCTGCGACCCGCTCAAGATGCAGCACTAGCAACGACATCTCAGATACAACACACTATGGCAGCGGCACCGGAGTGGTTGACGCACGATTACATCAGACATGCGTTGAGGGTGCACTACGAGGACGCCGAGTTGAAGATTGTGCAGCTCGACGTGAATCCGGCTCTGGGCCCGGGCGAGAACTACGGCGGGGTGCTCACCAGGGCGCGGGTGCGCTTCACACTCTCCCAGCGACCAGCAGAGGAGTTGCTTCAGAACCTGATAGTAAAAACGTCCATTGATGACGACGAGCTGTCTAAGGAGCTGATGGCTCCCTATGATATCTACAATCGGGAAATGAATATCTACGAGCAGGTGCTACCCAAGTTGAATGAGCTGCTCAAGGAGATCGATGAGTTCGAGCCGTTGTTTCCCACGGCCATCTTCGTGGATCGCGAACGCATGGCCATCATTTTCGAGGATCTCAGCGTGGACAACTATGTGATGGCCGATCGGATTAAGCGCCTGAACAAAGAGCACGCCCACCTGATTCTACGCAAGCTGGCCAAGATGCATGCCACCTCAGCTGTATTGAATGAGCGAAGCCGCGGCAGCTTGGAGGGATACGATCGTGGATTCTTCAATCGCTATACAAACGCTTACAGTGGATACTTTGTGGGCGGCCTGCTTGCTGCAGCGCGATGGATGAGCCAGGAGCCTGAGATCGCGCACTACGGGCAGAAACTGTTCGAGCTAGCCCCTCACTACATGGACATAGGTCGCAAGTGCTTTGCCCCGCTGAGCGACTCGGTGAACGTCCTGGCCCATGGAGATGTCTGGACCAACAATGTGATGGTCAAATACGATTCGGACACGGGTCGGCCTGTGGATATTATCCTTATTGATTTCCAATACTCCTTTTGGGGATCGCCCACCATTGACTTGCACCATTTCTTCAATACATCGCTGAGGGAGCCCCTGCGGCGAGAGGAGCAGAGTTCTCTCATTGAGTTCTATCATCGCATCTTCAGAGATATTCTCAGAAAACTCAACTACAAAGCGAATCCCATTCCCAGTTTGCATCAGTTTCAACTGCAGGCCGAGCAAAAAAGATTTTTCGGTAAGCTGGCAAAGTTTATCTCGATTTACTGTAGATTAATTCATTGTTTTCCTATAGCTTTGCACTCGGCTGTTGTCGTGCAGCCCGTCATGATCAGCGAGGACCCAACGGACGCCTGTTTCAATGCTCTCATGAACGACGATGAGCGTGCGACTCGGTTTAAGAATCGGCTATATAACAACCCCATAGTTCAGCAGAATCTCAAGGCCCTGATGCCAGTTTTTGATAGAAAGGGCCTCCTGGAGATTCATCAGTGCTGTTAGACTGTACTAGAAATATAATACGATTGCAGTGCAGCTTTACACTATTTCCATTGCCTGTAAGAATCATATTTAGATAATTTCTAGTATATCCCTTGAGGTGCTCAAACTCATTAACTAGGATGTCAAGATTTTTGCCTTACCTGTAGACGATATAATTTTTCCTGATCTTCCACATCATATATGTATATTACTAAATATAACAGACATACATAGTTTTTTGGCGAGGCGAGCGTATATTTTCCAACTTGTAAAAGTATTAAAGTGTATTTCTAATATATACTGTATTTCCTGATTTGTCACGGCCCTAGTGATTGCATCGGTAAATAGCTATAGTTGTAGTATATATACGTATATTATATTCCAAGTATCTACTATAATCTCTGCGAACTAATATTCAATATATTTTTTACTTCGTGGATAAAAACTATATGATCCTTTATAATAATGTTTCCAATCTCTGTAAAATATTTTAATTTTTTAATAACATTTCCAATATATATATAAATGTCTACCAAATTGCGCATAAATTTCTGAGCGAAATGTATTCGCGTTAGGGTTCTATGCTTCGACTGAAAATATTGCCCATTAAATTATAATAATTCATTCATAATACTTACAATAAGAATTTTATTCAATTGTGTATATAAGTGAAAATTAAAATATTATTAAATAAATATATAATACATTGTACGTACAATCTATGAACTGACATTGTGTAGACCCAAACATGCCTTGAAAAGGTCGAGGTCAGGGTATTAGAGTCGTTTATGGTGTGGACTAAACTTAAATCAGATATAAGATTAAGATAATATTTATCTGGCACACGTCAGACAGCTCGAGCTGTAAAACAAATATCATATATCTACCGTACATATATAAGCACAGCACATACTTATACACCGCACTCAGGGAAGGTGTTAGATAAAATGATAGCACATATTAATTGGCTGAGTGGCGGCCACGTGATTTTATAGCAGGCTCTCAGATCTTAAAATAAGAATCCAAAGCTAAGTATTGTTAATATGGAGGTGGGGCTTGAAACATTATAGATTAATTATAGGCTCACATAAGCTCTTCAAAACGACCATGAACCACTCATTACGAAAGGTAGAGAATAGGGTTATTCTCATAAAACCCAACTTCAACAGAATCCCAGAATCGGCAATTTGTATGACTATCCATTCCAAGCCAATCTTGATTAGCGACAAACCCACAGAAGCCTGATTTATTGATTTAACGATCTCTTGAATTCGCAGAATAATCTGAAAGGCCCATGCCCGATTAAAAGGGACTCAATCAATGTTATATACAAATTATTATATTAATAATGTGCAAATTGAACTTCACTCAGAGAAAACATATATATATATATATATATATATATATATATATATATATATATATATATATTTATATAAAACAAATGTTTGTTTTATAAATATAAACGAATTCTACTGACAGATCAAATAATAATAAGAACTAAATTATAATTTCATAAAAAATAGATAGTCAAGTGCTAGATTTACCAAATAGACAGTAAACTTAGTTATTAATATGAAAATAAGTAAGTATATGGATTGATTTCATTATTGTAAATACTTTGCTTTGTTTAGTATAAGACATATTGCAAATAAAAACAAGTAAGAAGGCTCCAGTCGAGACTGCTCGACTAGGAGATACCCTGAACCCTCCAAACTGATATTCTAATCATTCTGGACTTCTTTTATGCACACATACATACACATGCACGTATAAGCACGCGCTCTGCAAACTGCGCAGCTATCAGCGGCTGCGCTTGGGTTGCACTGCAGTGTGGGCAATATTATGAGAATTTATTTGTTGAATAATTTCTTTTGTAGACATACGATCCTAAACTTTTAGAGCGTAATCATATAACTAAAATGTGTGTACATTCCAAAGCACAAGTCTCTAGTACTTGAAATGGGTTTTTTACAAATTGGGGGCGAAGGGGGCGTGGTATCCAAAATCTGTAAATTACAAAATCTTTGTATCTATTAACTTTATATACAACGCAAATTTGAAGATTTTTCGATTATTCTCGATAAAAAAGTTATCAAACAAGTTATCGAAAAAATAAAGCAAACTTGTACTGCCTATGGTATACACGAGTATGCATGCCAAATTTCAGCTCTCTAGCTCTTATATCTTCTGAGATCCTTTTGCTCATACGGACGGACGGACGGACAGACGGACAGGGCTATATCGACTCAGCTCGTCGTCCTGATCAAGAATATATATACTTTATGGGGTCTGAGATGATTCCTTCTGCCTGTTACATACTTTTCACAAAACCATTATACCCTGATTTCCCATTTTCAATGGGTTCAGGGTATGAATAGCAAAAAAAAAAGTCACTAAAATCAGAAATCCATCAAAATCACTATCCGTCCGTCCGTATGAACGCCGAGATCTCAGAAGATATATGAGGTAGAGGGAAATTCGGAATGTATACTCGTGTATACCATACGCAGTACAAGTATATCATATTTTTTCGATCCGATATCCGATATCTTTTTATCGAGAATAATCGATAAATTAATTTTTTTTTTTTTCAGCCTAATTTCAACACTTATTTAGTTTGTTGAATACGAAAATTTTGTAATTTACAGATATTGGATACCACGCCCCCTTTGCCGCCAATTCGTGCTTTGGAATATACATAAATTTGAACATTATGATTACGTGCTGAAAGTTTCAAGAAGATAGTTCTACTATAAGAGAAATCATTCAACAAGTAAATTCTCAGCCCAAGCGCTGTCGCTGCTAACTGCGCAGTCAGCAGAGCGCGTGCCTATGCGTGCATGTGAATGTATGCATAAAACACGTGTAGAATGATTAGAATATCAGCAGGGAGGGTTCAGGGTATCTCCTATTCGAACAGTCTCGACTAGAGCCTTTTTACTTGTTCGTATTCAGATTCATTAATGCTAAACAGATCAATGGCATCTCTGGGAAACTGCTGTGAATATTAGACTGCACTGTAGGCGAGTAAAAGTATCTACCGAGATCGCGAAGCTTGAATAAACAATGAATAATCTTGTTTGTGTCTTAGTATAAAATCCAGACGTTCGCCCATGATAAGGCATTAGTATACTACCTCCGGCAGTCTCAATTATGGCATGACGATGAGGAGTGCAGTCGTCAGCGACAATCAGAGCTGTAAAGTCTAGCTAGATACATTTTTATATGTATATACATAGTCCAACAGTTTTCTCTTGGCACCCAGCGTCGTATAAAAGGCAACGAACTCCACATAGGCAGCTCAGAAGCGTTTGATATCCGTAGATACAGCTTGGTCATCATGCCCAAGCAAGGTTCCGACGCAAACTTGAAGGTACTGGCTGCTCCGGGCTGGCTCACCCGCGAATATGTCCAGCAGAGGCTGCGAAGCTACCTGAAAGAGTCGAAACTGCAGCTGCAGAAGCTACACATACAGCCGGCCACGGCCAATGGGGAGAACTATGCGAGCGTCATGACGAGGATCATCGTAGAGTACACGGACAAGGATATGTGCCAGCATACAGACAACTTTATAGTTAAGACCACGTTCGCCGACAAGGATCCGGCTTCTCACTTGCTGGAACAATATGGCGTATATGTTCGTGAAATGGACATGTACGAGGAGGAGCTGCCCAAGCTGGCGAAGATCATTCAGCTGGAGCTGGGGGATAGTCGGAAAATGTTTGCTCGCACAGTGTATGTGGATCGGGAGCACGACTCGATTGTGTTCGAGGACATGTCCTTGGAGAAATACTGTGTCGCGGATCGCTTGAAGCAATTGGATCGGAATCACACTCAGCTGGTGCTGGAAAAACTGGCGAAATTTCATGCCGCCGGAGCGGTGCTCAACGAGCGGCAGCCAGGGATCTACGGCCAGAAATACGATCGCTGCTTCTTCAACAAACACACTCAGGCCTACAAGCCCATTATGCAGAATATGCTGAGAGCCCTAATAACATCCATCGAGGATGACAAGGCACTGCATCAGCGCTACGCAGCTAAGCTGAGCGGAGTCATCGATCACATTATGGAATACGGCGAGCGGACGATGGAGTTAAGCAAGGGGGACTTTGCAACTCTCTGCCACGGCGATCTATGGACTACGAATATCATGTTCAATTACCTGAACGACGGCACGCCGGACAATATGATCTTTATAGACTTTCAGTTTAGCGTTTGGAGCTCGCCGGCTATCGACCTGCACTACTTCTTCTGCACCTCGGTGCAGAACGATCTCCATAGGAATCATCAGGCCGAGCTAGTCCAGTTCTATTACCAGAATCTTGTGGATGCATTAACTAAACTGAAATATAAGGGCCAAGTGCCCAGCCTATTTGAGTTTCAGCTGCAATTTCAAGCGCGTGCCTTCTATGGTAATTAGCTCATGATATAAATCAAGACTTTTATATAAGTATATATTTCTATTGTATAGGTGTTTTCTGCTCGTTGGTTTTCCTGGCGGCCATGCTGCACAATGGGCCCGAGGAGTTTTCCATTGAAAAAGCGCTGTCGCCTTCTGAGGCCGATGCGGCTGTGCGAGTTGCTGTCTATAAAAACGAGCTATACCGAAAGAAACTCAGAGAAATCTTGCCCATGCTTGATCATAAAGGATTGCTCGATGAGATGTAAATACAATTGTTGTTATTTATAAAAGAGTATTAGTCTAGAATAAACAAGTCAAAGTACGTTAGTTGGGTTACTCGACTTGGAGATAGCCTGAACCCTGCTTTTATTTCAATCATTCTAGATTCCTTTGTGCAAACAACTTGTCTTAAAATCGAATTTGCAGACTTCATTTGAGAGCGTGATATTGACATGGAGATGGGTATACTTGCCAACGCACAAACTTATATTATTTCAAATCCAGTTTGTATAAATTAGGTCTGCAGAATATATGTATCTTTGCACCTTGTTGAATTCTAGAATTAAAATATGCTTACAAATCGAAATAAAGATATCGATTTTTATCGATAATAACGAATTTTAAAAAACTGATCATTTCTTACTGCGTATGGAATACATGAACATGCTTTTAATATTTCGAGCTTAAGTATGTGACAATATTGTTGGATAAATACGGATGGACAGATACTCAGAAGCACACAGACTGAGCTCTTTCATAATTAAGATTAGATGTATGTATATATAAATGTTATTAAGAATAAATATATACATATATAGTAATTTCCGATCTATCATGCCCAATGTGCGTAGATTTGCCCATTATAAAGATTTAATCTTGTGTTCTAAATTCCAAATTTCAAGAGTATCATCGTTGGGAAAGTAATTTTGAATACATGTGCTGCTCTTATTTCCGAAATAAGCAAAGCTAAGCAGTGAAACTATCAGCTACATATGACCTACCCTTTTTTTGTAAAGTAGATATCATATACACATATACACTTTATATACTTTATGAACTATACTGCAGATAAAGCAGTCCCAAATCTGAATATTTTATGGAGCGCACGCTTATTTTATACTTTCTACAATACACCTGATGCTCTATACAACTATCCAATTCTGTGTCTGCTATGTAAATAGAACTCTTATTTGTGTTCTCATGACTGTGCGAAATTCAGATTGAAATTAATAGATGTACATATTCTAATCTTATGTAATCGTATATGGCAGCCACACATAGATAGGACAATTGTCTAGATCAGTCCGCTTTACGACTGCTATAATGCAAGATTATATACACATAGCTTTCGGAGAGAATGCGAGCCTCAGACTATAAATTGCGAGTACTTTGCGACTCGTTGCGAGACTCATCCTAACATGGTTGAAATACAGAGCGGCAACAGCAACGGCAGCCAAGATGGGGACAACTTCCATCCTGCCCCACAGTGGCTGACCGAGTCCTATGTGGAAACTATTCTCCGGCACCATAAGCAGGACGGGGGGCTGAGCATCAGAGACCTAAATATTAAGCCAGCCACGGCTAAAGGCGACAATTATGCCAGCATAATGACCAGGATCAAGGTTGACTACATCCCAGGCGGAAGCACGCAAAGCGAAACGGAGTTCTTCATTGTGAAGACCACCTATGAGAACGACCCGTCCATATCCAGCATCTTCGCCAGCTACCAAGCGAGCCACACGGAAATGGTCATGTACGACAAGATCCTCCCACAGCTAACCCTCCTCCTGGAGGGCACCTCGCAATCGGAGAAGCTATTTGCCAAGACGATTCACGTGGACTACGAACATTCGGCCATCATCTTCGAGGACCTCGCTGTACTGAACTACGTGCTGGGCGACCGCTTGACCGGTTTCGACTTGGAACACACAAAGCTGGTGCTCCGAAAGCTGGCCAAGATGCACGCCTGCTCTTCAGTGCTTAATGAGCGCCAGCCCGGACTGGTCACCAAACTGGATCACGGCATTTTCAATCGTCACACCCGAGGATTCTCGCCCATGTTTGAGAGCCTGATGGGCATGGCCGCAGACTTTGCCGGGCAGTGTCCAGAGCTGGGCAAGGTATACGAGGACAAGCTGAGAGCCCTGTAGAAGCATGTGATGGAATATACTGAGAAAGTCTACGATCCACAAGAAAACGAGTTCAACACCCTAACTCACGGCGATTTGTGGACAAACAATATAATGCTGAGAAAAAGGACTGCTCACAGCGAGCTGGACTTGCTTCTGATTGACTTTCAGTTCTCAGCCTGGGCACCGCCTGCCGTGGATCTCTTTTACTTCTTCTACACCTCACTCCGGCCTGAGGTGCGCAACAACCACTTGAGCGCCCTGATCCAATACTATCACAAGGTGCTGGTGGATACCCTGCGGGAACTGAAGTTTGGCGGCTATATACCCACGCTCAGGCAGTTGGTGTTGCAGCTCGAAAAGGGAAAATTCATGGGTGAGATCATCATTGATTCCATTGTTGGATGGAAGCTATATTTATATTTTCCTTTATAGCTGTCACCGCATGTCTGACCTGCCAGGCCATAATGCTCAACGAAGAAACGAAGGATGCCGACTTCAATGGGCTCATGGTGGACGATGAACGGGGTCGAAACTTCAGAAAATCTATGTACAGCAACAAGAGGCTTCAAGATATTATTATAAAATGGCTACCTGAGTTCGATCGCAGTGGTCTGCTAGACTTGGTGGAACAAAATTAATAAAAATTTTAATATTTAAAATGACTCTTCTGAAATTTTAATGTCGTATATTGTACAAAGATTATAAAAAAATTTTATTTTATCAAAAATCAAAGCGGACGTTTTATTAATTTTATTCTGAATTTTCAATATAAAATTTATATATAGTTTTCCCCGTTGTTTTTTATAAAAAGTCTTTTTAATTGTAAAGGTGCAAGCTCAAATGACACTGAAACATTTTTCATAGTCGAGAGTTTATATTTTTTACGTTCATAATCAGATACATACATAAATTCCTATATTTAAAAGGTATAAATTATCGAGATATAATTTGTTCTCCTAGTTCTTCGCAAAAGCTAGAATTCTTTTAGTTTCCTTAATAATGTGTACAAAGGCTATTCCTCTAAGTCCATCTTTGAAATAGGGGGTGTAGTGACCCGTTTGACTGTTGACCGATCTGCCGATTCTAATTTTAAATATATTGAATTATCGCTGGGAAACTTGTATAAATGCTCTCTGTATTACCGATACAAAATTAATTCAGAACTTATTTTCAATCAGATAATTCAAAGACCTGTCAAATCTAAATGCATACCATGCAATACAATCATTTATTATTTAACAATCCTTTCCACACTATCGAAATTATATTAGCCAAGCTAAACTATAAGTCAAGAAACTGAATAGCTTGCTAGTACGTTATCATAATCCTATCTTATCTAAGATACCCATAAAACAATTTCATGACTGCATGAAAGGGACTGTTTACAAAAGTTAATCAGCAATTTAAATTTCGCGAAAATCCGTTTTTTTTTTTTTTTTTAAATGCCAAGTCATTCCATTTAAAGTCTACTCGTATAGCTAAGCCTCTAGTTGCAGCCTAAACATTTATTGCACTTGCTGACGATATTTTCCTTGTTCAACATATCTATTCAACTTGACGTGAGCAGGAAACACCTGTACAAACATATTCAATAATATCACAAGATTTTGAAGATTGATGACTGTACCCCACGATCCGACTGTTGGTATCGCACTTTGAGAATAGTAACTCCATGAGTAAACTAAATTTAAATTAATAAAATTTGCTTCTCTAGCTTTCAAGACTGCGATGTCGAAATTTCTCCAGGTTTTAATCCACTAAGATTAATTCCGCATATTTTAAAGATACTTAAAAGAGCTAAAAGCTTGAAATTTCATAGATAAAACTTTCATAAACTACTATATTTTATGTATTGTTTAAATAAAAAGAAAAGTTTATACATTTCATTCAAAGTAAAAGTGTCAATCTAGATTTATTTAAGTTCTGCCCATTTCAATTGCATTGCAAATACAATCAAACTCTTAGAGAGCTTACGTTAATATATCATACGTCATTTGGCTGCGACCAAGAACACTCACTTTTCTATAAAGTTAGCGGCGGCAACAACCTCGAGAAGGCGGTTTAAGTCCATCTTTGAGACCAAAAATGTCTTGCAAGCAGTAAAGGTAAAAGGAAGGAATCATTGAAATAGCCCAAGCAAATTATGAAGACAATGATATAACAGTGCCTAATTCCAATTTACTTAAATTTTGAGCGATTTGATAGGTATGCAAGATCTAAATAAGAGCTATCTCAGTAATAATATTCAAGGTATGATTTATAATGTTTATAGCATATCTACAACAGTATTAAGATCGTCAAATATTTGAGACTCACGCAGATGGCTTACCAAACCTAAGGTTTTATTTCAAAATAAATATAGTAGACCTATAAAGTGTATATCCTGCTATTTAAATCATGAAAAGTCTAAACATTTAGTTATGCTCTTTACAATAGGGACAAAAACCAACGAAGCTATGTGGGACTGGCGGCTATAAAATGTGACTGCAGTGTGCGTCATTGTGGGAGATTCAGCAACGACGACTAAGATGGGGATAACTTCAAGGCAGCACTGGAATGGCTGACCGTTTCCTATGTGGAAGCTATTCTCGGATGCCATAAGCTGGATGAAGAGCTGATAAAGACATTATTATGAAGCCCGCGACTGGCAAAGGCATTATGACCACGATCTTAACTACGTAATGTCACATAATCCGAAATGGACTCCATAATGGAAAAGATCACCTTTGAGCATAATCCAATTATTTTCATGTATGAGACAATACTGAGACAGCTAGCCAAGACGATTCTCGCAGTAGAATACATTAGCGCACGTTGATCAGGCATGATTGACTTCCAGTACTCTGCCTGGGCGTCGTCAGCCATGGTTCTATTCCTTTTTAGTCACCTGAAGTGCGCAACAACCAACAAGACGAACTTATTCAATACTATCATAGGCTGCTTGTGGGTATCTGCGTGAATGATCATTTATTAACGACCGAAGCTCAGGCAGTTTCTGCTGCTCAGGTGAGCACATATCTCGTACATATAAAGGAAACAGCTGGTTTATCAGGCTTTTAGACAATCCGGACGGCAGTGCTCTAATTCTTGATGATGGGCGAGTGCGAAATATCAGAAGAATGCACAATAACAATGGGCTACAAGAAAATGTTAAAAAGCAGCACCCTGAATTTGACTAATGTGGACTATTTGATTTAATACATTAATATTTATATCTGAATATTAAAGTCCTGGAAACAAATAGACCAATAAATGTATATAGACCTTTGTCTAATAGACGAGTTTGACTCTTGCAATTCGTAGCAGCTCACTCAATCTGCGAGACTCCTAAAACAGTTCTCAATAGTATTATAAAAGTACTTGCTATATTATAATTAGATCGTTGATTATTGTAGAAGCGTATATACACGGCTTTGGATAAGAATTAATCTAAAAGTCCCAGCCCGCGTACTCCTTGACCACATCTTTGTTTTCCTTACGATGGCG